ATATTTTCCATTTCGCTAAGCAAAAGAATTGCATTTCCAAACTAGTATATCACATACTCAAATCAAATATGAGTTGTTGCATTTTGACATTTGGGGACCTGTCTCGACTCAACCAGTTCATGGCCACAAATATTTCCTCACAATTCTTGATGACCTCCTCACAATTCTTGATGACCATAGTAGACCCACTTTGATTATATGCCTAAAATCCAAAGCTGAAGTTGCAACACATGTTAGAACCTTCATTACCATGATTGAAACTCAACACAACACAACCCCTAAAACTGTAAGGTCAAGGAATGGACATGAGTTTCTCCTAAACCAAATTTACAATTCTAAAGGCATACAACACCAAAGATCGCGTGTTTAAACACCACAAAAAATGGTTGTGTTGAAGACAAACACCAACATATCCTTAATATAGGAAGGGCTCTTCTTTACCACACCAAACTTCCAAAGCAATTTTGGTTATATGCTCTACAACATGTTGTCTTCCTTATGAATGGAATTATATCCACTTTACTTAAAAAAATCACCTTACCATATTCTTTATGATAGCACACCTGATATTCAAGATTTTGAGGCTTTGGTTGCCTAGCCTATGCTACTACACTCCAAGCCAATAGATCAAAACTGGACCCAAAAGCTAGAAAAACTGTTTTCTTGGGATACAAGACAGGCATAAAAGGAAGTATCCTCCTTGATTTAAATACCAAATAAATATTTGCTTCAAGACATATTTCATTCCATGAAAACATTATCCCTTATGTTATACACCAGTCCCTATCTAATTGGCAGATTTATCAAATTCCTAGAAATCACCTAACTTCCACACCCTCATCAATACCTGCTACTAATAACACACCTTCACCAATCCATGTTCCACCACACCTGACCATAACACTACTAACACACCAATACCTGAAATACTTGATGATGAAGAAACCACCCACACCTCCATAACTCTTGAACCCGATACTACACCTAAACATACTACACATGAGCAGCCCCAAAAACCCTGACCCTTTCCCCTACTCAACCTATTATAACCCCAACTAATCAAGACAAAACAATACATATCCCTAAAAAATCCACACGCCTCAAACAACTACCAACATACCTTAAATATTATCTATGTAGTTCATTCACTGATCAGACACAACAATCATCATTAAGTACTTCATATCCTATTTCTAAATATTTATCTTATTCAGCATTATCTCCCACATTTCATCATCTCATCATGTCTATCAACACACTCCATGAACCAAAATCATATGTTGAAGCTACCAAGTTTGAATGTTGGAATCAAGCCATACAAGCTGAACATCAGCTCTTGAAAGAACAGGCAGATCGAAGATTGTTGAGGCACCACCAAACATTAAACCAATTGGGTGCTGGTGGGTCTACAAAGTAAAATTCATGAAAATGGCTCAGTTGAAAGATTCAAAGGTCGACTAGTAGCTAATGGATTAAACCAAATTAAGGGGATCGATTACTTTGAGACTTATCCACCTGTGGCCAAAATGACTATTGTCAGAATGATCATTACTTTGACATCAATCCATAATTGGTTTATTCACCAATTGGATGTTAACAATGTGTTTTTGCATGAATAACTATAGAAAGATGTCTATTTGACTCTACCACCAGGCATTTCCTCCACAAAAACCAATCAAGTATGTAAACTCATCAAGTCCCTGTATTGTTTTAAGGAAGCAAGTCACAAATGGCATGAAAAGCTCACATCAGTTATTCTTTCTCAACAATATCGTGAAGCCAACTCAGATGACACTTTGTTTACCAAGAAAATTGGTAACACATTCACTCTGCTCTTAGTATATGTTGATGATATCATCATTGGAGGAAATTTTATGTCTGAATTTGACCACATCAAATTTGTTCTTCATCAAACATTTCAAATAAAAAATCTTGCCCAGCTCAAATACTTCCTTGGTCTTGAAGTAGCTCACTCTTCACAAGGAATCACACTATGTCAACGAAAATATTACTTGGATCTCTTAACTCACACAGGATGCCTTGGATCTAAACTAGTTTCTACACTTAGTAATCAAGCCATCAAACTCCACCATGATTCAAGTTCTGCATATCATGATATTCCTGCTTACAGACGCCTAGTTGGCCGCTCGCTTTATCTCACAACCAAAAGACTAGACATTACATTTTTTACACAACAACTGAGCCAATACCTCACTAATCCAATTGTCACTCATCATAAAGATGCCACACAAGTTCTCGAATATTTTGTAACTTGTAAATGCGCCTAAGAGGGGTGGGGGTGAATTAGGTTCTCTAAAATTATTTGCAATCTTTTTTGGTTCTTGGTTCTTTTTCCGGTTATAATGTTATGACTTTGAAAGTAAAGTGCAGAAAGAAAAAGAGACACAAGAAATTTATAGTGGTTCCCCTCACACTCGAGAGTACTCCACTCCCCTTTCGACTCGAAAGAGATTTCACTATAGTTTAGAATTATTGCACAGCCTAATCACACCAATGGTGATGCCTACTATCTAATCTATAGGTAATCCAAGTGTAGAAGAACAATCCTCTTCAAACACTTCACTTGTTTCCAACAATCCTGGATAACAAGGTAATACACAATTATCTTGAAATAAGTTGAAATCTTTGAGAGAATGATATTATCAATCTTCACGATCGATCTTCTTCTTGAAACAAATATTACTCAAATAAGTATACTAGTGTTCTTGTGAGAGGATTTGAAATGAAGTTGTGATAGTGTGAAAGTTTATTCAAAGGCTCCTTTCAAAAATGTTTTTGAACACTTAAAAATGAAAATTTGAAGGATGAAGAGAATGAGTAATTTTAATGATTTTGTTTCTTGAAGGTGTATTGGAATTTTGAAATTGATAACAATTTATATTGATCAAAATACCTTTTCAAAAGGGTGTGATTTTGTTCAGCAAAAACAGTCAGAAATCAAAATGGAAACCAATGCATATTTTCATGAAGAGCTGCCATTTTTGCTTGCTGTTTCAGTATTAATCGGTTAACCAAATGGGTTAATTAGTTAACACCTTACAATGTTTAAAAATATTCAAAGTTTACACATGTTAATCAGTTAACCATATGTGTTAATCGGTTAACACTGTAACAAAATCACAAATGAGTTAATTTTAAGGTCCATTAACCGGTTAACCAAAAGGGTTAATCGGTTAACACTGAAAGGTTTTCAAAATATAATTATTTTTAACATGAGAGATTATTTAATTTTTTTTTAAAAGTGTTTGTGGTATATGTGGAGTGAAATGTGAATTATGAACACTTGTATAGATATTTCTAAGTAATATTTGTTATACCTTTGCTTTGAACATCGTCATCACTTGAAGCTTGTAAGAGAAGCTTGATCACAATTGTCACATGTTAGAGCATTATCTTGATCCTTTAATGTTTACTTGAATACTCTTGCTTTTCGCATATGTATGTGTTTGCGTAGAAAGCTTGATCTTGTTATCTTCATCAAAACTTTAATGAGCTTGAAGCTTGCTTCTACATATTTGAAAGGAAGTCCTTCTCGTGGTTTGTTCTTCCCAAGAGATTCTCACATACAATTGATTGGTTTTTCAAATGTTGTATGGGCTGGTTGTGCAGACACAAGCCATTCCATATCTGACCAATGTTTCTTCACTGTAAATCCCTCATATCATGGCGCACGAAGAAGCAACTTACAGTATCACGCTCATCATCTGAAGCTGAATATCGTGCTCTTGCAGCAACTACTTGTGAAATGCAATGGTTGGTTTTTCTTCTGAAGGATATTCAACTAAACACTTCCAAACTTCCAGCATTGTATTGTGATAACTTGAGTGCAATACATATTGCTTCCAATCTCGTATTCCACGAACGTACAAAACATTTGGAAATCGACCGTCACATTGTCCGCGAGAAACTTCAAACTAAAGTCTTCAAGTTGCTAATGGTTTCTTCCAAAGATCAATTGACCGATTTCTTCACCAAATCACTTCTACCACAACCATTCCACATTCTTTTATTCAAATTGGTTGTGGTTAACATCTATCCTCCAACTTGTGGGAGATATTATACCACAAACAAGTTAGAGATGAATGACTTGTTCCTCAAGCAACTATAGTTAGAAGTGGCTACATATCATTAGTTAGTTAGAAGTTGTTATTAAGTTAGTTATGGTGGTTAGGGGATTCAATTGTATAGAGTAATGCTACCATAACTATCATATACCTAGTGACACTTTTATATAACTCTCTTGTAATCTCTTTATTCAATAATGAAGATCATTCTACTCATTTCATTACATAACTTTCACTAATTAGTTTGTTGCAGGAGAAATCCTGCTGCATTAAAGCTTGCAACCCCTACTGAACACTGAGCGGATGAGAATACCAAGAAAGATTGGAATGCAGAGTTTTTATATAGATATTTGTTAATCAACATACAAGTGGTACTTCGAAGAAAACTATTCTGAATTAAATCCCAACATATAAGTCTTACAAGAGTATAATTAAACAAATGAGATTAAAGTAGCATTATTGAGGAATTTTGATAAATAGGAAGAATATGAAAGAATATTAGTTTGAGTTGTCATGCAACAACAGTGCAAAACACAAAGCAATGAACAGAAAAATGAAGACATCTTGAAAATAATGGTAGCAGCAATTGAGACAGAATGCCACATCACAAACAACACACATTTTTATAGTTTTTGTGATACATCGTATGCTGAATCACTACTTTAGTTTCTATTCTGTTGCATTTTAATATTCTGTTTTGAAAATTTTGTCTCACTTTGCACAAGTGCTTAATATTAGTTAAATATATCATTTGCCACACTTGTGAATTTGATGGTTTCATTTAAAATTAATACCCTACATCAAAGATAATGATGTTTTTGTTGTCTAATTGACAAATAATACAAATCATACAATTACATCAAAAACCTCAAAATTACAATTTAGACTGCTAAAACGGAAAGTTTTTAAATTTCTTCACACTTGTTCATCTCGATCTATTGCAACAATATTACTGCTAGTCATTGCTTCATGATTAGGATTATCCTCTTTGTCATTGCTCTCTGTAATTTCCTTAACTGGTAATGCTTCATCTTTAATAATTGAACTTGGTGTCTCATAATCTTTGCTTTTACCCCACACCACTAAATACAATCCGAAAATAATCACAACCGCGCCAATCACTCTGAAAATTTATCAAAAGTATTATTACTTTACGATTTTAAATCATATATAAATCATCCGTGTAAATATATTTTATACGGTCAGATATAATTACCTTCCGAGGAATATTTTCTCGGCCAAAAAGATAGTGCTCATGATAGCTACAATGACCATACAGAGAGGATTGAAAGCTGTTACAAAAACTGGACCTCTATATTTCATAACAGCTCCTTGTATGTAATAAGCCATTCCTGAACAAACTATACCCTGCATGTGAATAAATAATAATAAATATTATTATTATATAAACTAATATGTGATTAATTTATTAATGACAATATTGTTGATCAAGCAATATATTCATCTTTTGAACATAAACAATTTTATTTAGTGCATGATGAATGTGTGTATTTTTCTATTGTGTAGCCTTTTCAACTTGCTTATACTAGCCTTTGGATGTTAGTGTAGGATTTAACTTTTAAACTTTATGAAAAGTGAGTGATAATTGTGTTCATTAATAATAAACTTTAAAAAAAAAAAACTTACACTATAAACTGCAGCCAACAATTTTGTATCCCAATTCAAAGACCAAACAGAATAATCATTCCTTTCCATAATCAAAGCTACTATGCCACCTTCAATTGTTCCCAATAAACATATCCATGCTGTGAGTGACAGCTCAGCAGGATAGGTTTCAAGTGTTATTGTCTACAAATATTAATTAAACAGTATTAGTAAAAATAGAGATAAAGAAGAAAATACTTGAAACTAGTTGAAATTAAAATTGACATTCGAATCAGATTATGCGGTCCAGTGGACCGGATACTACTGATGTAACAAAAAAACATATAAATATCATTTGATTTTTTTAGAAGAAAACTCACTTGAAGAATCATGAAACCAGCACAACTAAAACAACCAATTGTGATCATAATTGAACCCTTTATTGCATGTTGAAGATTTGCTCCACTATTATGTTGAATTTCAACACTGTTTCCATGTGTCCCAAAAATATTAAGTATTGGACCTCTTAACAATGTCATAACCATAGCACCTCCAACTGTTGCTAATGTTCCTATCACCTTTGCTTGACTACGTACACTTTTCATTTTTGTCTTCTCAAGTCTAGACACAATAAACCAATTAATTTTAAAAAATAGATATTTTTCACTATTAGAAATTTAATTTCTATTGGTAATTGAATTTTTTCGCTACAAGGAAAGAATGAAAATGTTTACTTCAAAATACAAGCCATGACAAAGGTTATGGCAGGGAGAACATTGTTCATAGTCACTGCGAAAGTAGCCGTCGTATACTTCATTCCCAAGAAATATAAATTCTGATCGATTACCGGCCTGTCGTTAGAATTTCAAAACATCATAATCAAGATATGTTTTTCTTTTAATGAAAAAAAAAAGTTTAGCCATGCAGAAAATTACTCTAGTGTGCTGAGAGCCACTAGCTTCAAAAAGATTGAAAATGTCATCTTTGGCCTAACTTTCCTGTAAAAGAAAATTATAATAACATTAACATTCATGTTAGGAAAAATATTGATATAACAATAGAATGAGATAAAACTTACTTTTCGAAAATCAGTGCAAAAGGAGCAATCACAATGAAAGCGACGACGTGACGATAAACAACGAGTACATAATTACTCATTCCTTTGTTTAGTGCAGCTTTGGACAAAACATCCATACCAGCAAATCCAAATTGCAAGAACACTACAGCAATGAATGGTTTCATTCTGTCAAACTTTTTTCGGTTACAACATTCCATCATGTTTTTTCAGTTTAAAATTTTCTTAAACTCTTGCTTGAGCCACAAGAATGAAAGAGAACAACGAAGGTAGATGTGTTTATATACTAAGTTAATGGTAGCTTGATGGGTCTACTGGCTCACGAAACCAAGTGGGAAGTCACATAAATCAGTAGACACCTTCCTGAAAAAAAATGAAAAAGTCTGTGTCACGCTTTAAATTATTACTATCTTTTGGTTATAGTTGAGTGTTACTCATCATGGGGTAGCTTTTAACACTTTGTTCACTTGTTTTCTTATTTGTTATAATTTGACAAAAATTTTGCGTATATGTGTGAAGATTTTAAATGGAAAAGTTGTCTCTACTTTCTCGTTAAAGATGAGAAAAAGCAATCCTATAATATATGATTCCAGTTGAAGTGCAAGATTCTAATTATAATAATTGTAGTGTCATGATTATTTGTTTTATTAAAGATAAAATACTAGGTTGCGGTGTTGGTGGTGCGATTTTGGTAGTTTTAAAATTTAAAATCATTCGAATCGCAACAGAAAAAGTGTGCGGTTTGTTTTGGTTTGATTGTTTTTTAAAAATAAAACCGAATCAAACTAATGCGGTTTGGGTTGGTTCGATTTTTTACAATATTTTTATTGAGTCATACATATACATATCGAGAATAATATAACTTTGTGTTTATTTATTCATACATTATTAAATAACAACAAAACTCATCATATTTGGACAACAACTTCCCATTTAATATACAAAATTCAGATTATACAAAAATGGAATAAAAATCTTAAAATAGTAGCATAAAACAATATCAAAAATATTATAATGAAATAGAAAAAATAAAGGAGAGAAGATATTAGAGAAGATGAAAAAGAAAGAACACAAGAGATGTGAGGTTAGAGAAGAAAGGTGCAATAAAAAAGTAATTGAAAGAGAGAACAATAGCATAAAATCGAGAAAAAAGAAAGAACATAAGAGAGAAAATATTAGAGTAGATGATGTGAGATGTACATGACAAAGAAGATAAGACGAATGTGTGATACAACTAGGAGAGATTAGAGAAGGATGAGATTGATACGCTAAGTGTGAAAAAGAGAAAATCGTCTGTACTCGTAAGACTAAAACATAATAGGTTTGCGTTTTAGGTTGGATTGGGATAAGTGAAGTTCGGGTTATAATTGTTGCACCCCAAAATTTGCCTTCTTTCAAAGCTTGACTCATTTCTTCTTTTCTTTCAAATTCAATGACATAAGGGAGGCCCATCATTCCAAATTCAAGGTTCATGAATTCAAGGCTAGATTCAAGAATATTACAAAGGGAAATTTCATGACGTTTGCAAGAATGTCACATTTGTTACAAAATCCAAACTCTTGGTAATGCTTAGGAAATTAAGCTATTTCTAGTCTTAATTCAAGTTTCTAAAAATAACTTCATGCCATGGTATCCCCCATGCCTCATCAAGTCCACATGGTCCTCCTTGTGCTTACAAACATGCAAGGAAAATATTTAAGAGCTAATTCAATGTTGGAATATTTCAAGATCAATACCATGCATGTTCAACCAGGAGCAATTTGAATATGATCCAAAACAACCCCATGCAAGAAGTGGCAATGTGTATCATATTACAAGATCATTTTATGTCACAAAACCAAGGCTATAAGCTTATGTTGATACATCTACACATCAAAAATCAGAATTTGAAAATGATGTCCAAAAGGTCTTGTATTGACTACATGGGTATGTCCAAAACAAATCAACCAACCAATGGGTACAAGGTTGGAAAGCAACATAGAGTGCTGCAGAAGAAATACAACAAAAGCAGCATACTATAAGTGGAAAAAGCAGGGCTGCACCAAGAAAGTGGCCATAATTGTTGCCAAGAATGGAAATTCTGAAAGTTGGAGCTTGTGCAAGAGCTATTGCTTTGGTACAACAGAAAAAGGTGACAGAAAAGTGAGATGAGAAGGGAAGGAGGGAAAACCAGAAAAATAGAGAAAGCAAAAAAAACCAGCAAAAGATTTAGAGAGTGAAAGAGAAATACAAGGGAGCCATTGAGAAGGAGAGCCATCAAAGCATAGAGTGAAGAGAAGTGAACACCTAGCCAGAACCAAGGAGGACTTGCAAGAAGAATAGAAAGCTCTTGGGTATCCATTTCTTCAAACTCTTTTCTTCTTTCATATTGTGCATTTGTCATTTATTCCCTTGGTTTGAGTGTTGAGTATTGATTATAACATGTAAGATCCCAAGGGGGACCAAGAAGCCTTTTGAAAAAACCCAAAAAGAAGCAAAAAAAGCAAGAGAAAAGTTTGATTTTTTTCATCTGGTAGACCAACACGGGCCGTGTCACACGACACGGCCGGCCGTGTTGCATCTCTCTGTGGCTTTTCAAAGTGAAAATGCCCTGGGCTCACAACACGGGCCGTGTCACACAACACGGGCACCCGTGTTGTACCTCTATTTGAGATTTTAACTTGTTTTTTGGCCCAGACCTTGTGACACGGGCCGTGTCACACAACACGGCCACCCGTGTCACACAACACGGCCGTGTCACACCACTTTTTGACCCAAAACTCATTTTTTCCTGGAACTGTGACACGGGCCGTGTCACACAACACGGGACGTTTTTTCGACATTTATGTTTGATGTTTGCTTTTGTGTTTCATTTTTTTTAGCCGATTAACCCATTGTGTTTGGTGTGTTTTTGTTGTTATTTATTGTTGGTCATTGTTTTTACCTTTGGTTCTAAAAACCATTTTCAAAAGCAAACTCTCGATTTTATCGAGCCATTTTTAACCCTTGTAAGTCGGCCGCCTTATGCGTCCGCCATCGACCTTGCTCGCTTCACCTCAAACCTTTTTAAACAATTAAATCCTTGACCCAACGTCAAGCGAATTTTCTCAAACGATTGTTAAGCCAATTCGCCATATTTAATAAAAGGGTAAAGTTCTCTTTGTATTGAACTAAAGAGAATGGATTCAGTGTAGACTTCTTCCTTTCCGAGTGTCGAGATGCTCACTGTAGTGTGGGTGGTTTTGATACTTGTCTTTCAATACGAAGACGTTTTCATCCACACCTTTTTCTCCTAAAAAACCTCGGCCCCGTACCGAGTGCATTTTCAAAACACTTACAATAAATAAATCGATTCTCTTGGTATTGAACTAAAGAGAGAGGATTGAGTGTAGACTTCTTCCTCTCCGAGTGTTGGGATATTCACTGTAGTGTGGGTGGTCTCGATACTCGTCTTTCAATATGAAGACGTGACTTTGTCCGCCACCCATCTCCCTCTACAACTTCTTTCCGCAACCTTTGTCACCTAAAAACCTCGGTCCCGTACCGAGCGCATTTTTAAACTCTTTTCATAACAAAAATTTGAATGGTCGTGGAGTGGTTAGGCGCTGGCCTTCTCCTATCCCGAGTGCTGACGTTTACCGTAGGGTTCTCTGTCGCAAAAGCACTTACCATTCAAAACCAAAAACAATTTAATAAGAGAATGAAGTTCTCTTTGTATTGAACTAAAAAGAGAGGATTAAGTGTAGACTTCTTCCTCTCTGAGTGTCGAGATGCTCACTGTAGTGTGTGTGGTTTTGATACTCGTCTTTCAATACGAAGACGCTATGTTCACCACACCCTTTCATAACAAAAACTTTGAGATAAAGAATTGGGTACTACCCGTAGGGGTTACTATCCGAGGACCTATCTCGCCCCTTAAAAAAACAATTCAACAAATCAATTGTGACATCTTTCCTCGCATGGCGAAAACTTATCTTTCGAAAAGGATATGATACGTCCGTTCTACCGCAAACAGGAAATGCCTAAGTCTCCAACGAGCGAGCAGCAATACACCTAACTGCTAGAATGCGTACGATAGCATCATCCATAAAAACATCAACAAATCGTAGGCCGAACTACGACTGCTCTGATTCTTTACTTTTTTAAGTAAAGATACGTAGGCACAAGGGCCACAATCCTTGCCGAGCACATTCCCTCCATATCTGTAGTTCCCCGAACTACGTCGACTCTGATTTTCTCATATCCGTTGAGAATACGTAGGCCTAGGACCGCGAAGTCCTACCAAGTTCGTCCTTTCTCTCTTCTTCCCTGTTGCCTCATTTCTTAGTTTCTAAACCCTCTTTCTTTACCCTTTGGAAAACACTTTTATAACATAACATTTAAGCAAATAAATTCACACATCGACAAACAAATGGTTCCCATCGAGTACGATGGATGCGGGGGGTGCTAATACCTTCCCCTCGCATAACCGGCTTCCGAACCCGTTCTTGGTTGCGAGACCATCTTATCCTTTCTTTTCTTAAGGTTTTCTCGATATTTCCCTTTCCCCTCATGGGATAAATAAAGTTTGGTGGCGACTCTTCTGTCCTTTTCCTTTTCGCCTTCCCTGTCGTTGCGCGTATTTTTCGAGTAGTGACAATAACGTACTGCGATTTGGTTTGATTTGGTTCGATTTGTAAAATGAAAACCACAAACCGAACGGAACCGTGTTGTTTTGTTAAAAAATGACTCAAACACATCCGAACTAAACGAGGCTTTTTGTTGTTTTGGTTTGGTTTGGTTTGCAATTTTCTATTGGACCGATTTGGTTTTGAACACCCCTAATACTAGTGTACAATGGAGGGCATGCACAAATGTATTATTTATGACCCGCCCAAAGGTTCAATTGATGAAAGTCTAATCCATCTCAAATTCACTATATTTGACCCATGGTATGAGAGTAAGATACAATTTTTGATCTCCAAATTCATTATACTCATTTTGAAAATTGAACTAACTTGCGAGTTGGAGTTCTAATCATGTAGATCCATCTCACTTCACCGTAAAAGAGATCGGAGCCACCATTCAAGATCATCAATTATCCAACTATCAATTTTTCTAGTTCTTTCGTGGAGCTAAAGCATCCATATATGGTTCTTGTAACACCCCGTTCCCCAAAACAAAACAAAATAATTAAAATAAACACATATCAGAGTTCCTCTCCCAAACGGGATGTCACAATTCA